TAATTGTGGACTAATACGGGAATGGTAATTGTGATGTCGTAGTAATGGTGGGGGGGAGGGTGATGATAATAACAATTGTAGTAGCAAATAGTTATTGTAAAATGGTAGAAGTGATTGTAATGTTGGTGGAATCACAATAACAATAATTGTAATGATTATGATGGTAGTTTGAACTAGAAAATCCCCTCCAGTAAAATTAATACCATTGCATAAATACTATAAGTATTACAAAGTGGAATTTCTACTATTTATATATGCGCAATCGCCAAAAATAAGCAAATAACCGGCTTTAAAATAATAAAAAAACAGCCTTAAAAAATTAAAAATAATAGCAATTTTTACCTATCATAGTCTTACACAGACCCCATCATACGTATATACGTGCGTGCAAGAAAATACTATTCAGCGAACAAAAATAGAAAAACGGTCTGCGCGTTGACAGTGCAACAAACAAAAATATTCGCTACACAATCCAACATTGAATACAGCGACCAAATGCGTACGTATGTGCGCAACGACACATATATGCGCATATGTGACCAGTCACACGCTGTTCACAATGTTTATGTTTGTGAGAGCTCCTGTAAATATGTGTGTGTGTGTTTTGCGTAAGTATGAGTAAAAATAGATATATATTTTTTCTCCCAAATTCCATAAAAAACACCAATATACGCAACTATATATAAATCCAAAATCTAGAAATTAATCAGTTTGTCTGACGATCGCAAATAGCGTGAAACCCACGGTCACAAACACATCAATTTAAAGAAATATATATATATATATATATATATATATATATATATATATATATATATATATATAGAAAAATATAGTTTTAGGGTCGGCTATATTTATGGGATAAAGTGCTCAATATCAGAGAAAGAGCGTATGTAAATATAAATATAAAAGTGAACATTGAAGTCAATACTCAGAGATGAAACAGCCTGTCACCTCTGAGTGTTGACTTCAATGTTCACTTTTATATTTATACTTGATGTGATTATGTGACCTTGGGTTTTACGCACTTGCTGTCGTCAGACAAACTCATCAATTTTCAGAAAGTGCTGTTTGGTGTTTTAATTTTGGATTGGTGAACGAGTGTCTATGTTTATTGATTCTCTTTTTAAATTCTCCTACAGAAATGCCGATGTATATATTACGGTTTGCCGTATATTCTTTAGGGGTAATGGTTGCCTGGTGTACTACTCTAGTGGATCTGCACTTGCCCTTTACTGGGGAGTTTTCCTTTAAAAAAAATACGACAAACCATAATATTTACATCGGCATTTCTGCAGGAGAATTTAAAAGAGAATTAATACACATAGACACTCAAACATCAAACAGACCCTTCGAAAAACATTTGGGAATTGAAGGAAAAGGGTCTGAATCCTCAAATAAAATTGAAAATTCTAGGTTTCGCGAGACCCCACAATAGTTTTAGGGATAGGTGCAAGCTATGTTTAGAACAAAAATTCAGGATAATAAATTATAAAGATCAATGCAAACTATTAAATCAACAGAGAGAACTAATTACGAAATGTAGACATAGAAATAAATTCGAAATTACATAAGAATACATTTGCATATATGTGGGGGTGTATGTGTACGTATAGTGGCATATATGTATGGACATGTAAATGTACATATATGTATATATATATGTATGAATATATGTACGCATATAAATGGGCTGGACAGCATGATTTACTCCATTGGGTGCTCTGGTATTACCCACAATCTATAAATCTTTAATTCAATTAATTTACATTAATCTTAATGGGTTTAAGTTTAAATCCGCCATCGCTTATTCATAATAGTGGACACCTGTAGTACAAAAATTATTTACTGTGAATCCCAGAAAAACATACCCGGGGCTTGTGTAAGAAACGCCACATAGTAGGAACTGATATTAAACTACAAACAACGAAAGGTTCTCACCCTAAATAAACTCCAACCCCAGGTTCAAGAAAGCTTTTGATTTAGTCGACTACACAGTATAGTAGGGTCAGTTGGGCACCTTCTGTGAGAAAAAAAAACACCATGACATAATTCCCTCTGTCATGGAAATGGCATGCTGTACTGCTTGGAATTCTCGCCAGAAGGTCCATTACACATATTTTAGAGTGTGTCGGTGTCAATCTGATGACAGTACAAAGGATTCGGAAAGAGTTGGATGAGTCTAATGCTGATTATGAAGGTGTTTGGTGCGATTACTAGTGATGGTGATGTTATGCCTCCATTCATCTCCCCACAAGGCCTTAGAATCAACACCGAGGCCTACATCAAGTGCCTTGAGGGGGTGGTTTTGGCCTGGGTCAAGCGGGTGGCTGCTGGACGACCCGATATTGAGCAACAGGACTCAGCAACCTGACACCCAACAGGAGAACAAAGTCATGATTGTCAGACAATTTCTGCCACAACATCGCCACCTAAATTCCCATACTGCAACCCCCTTGATTATTAAGTGTGGGGCGCAGTGAAGCGAATGAGCAACAAACCTCATTGTAACACCAAAGATGAACTGAAGGCAAGGATTATGGCAGCATTCACCGTCCACAAGAATTGCAAGAGATTCCGAAGTCTTCTGGTGGCCGTGGTTGAAGCCAATGGCGATTTCATTGAATTAATTCAATTTTAGTATTTCAACATATTTTTGTGTAATTTTGAATATGTGTTAAAATGATATGTCAATGCTATTTTCATTTTTTTTTAATTCAGACGACAATTTACTCATCGCAAGCCTTGTGTGTCTATATATATATATATATATATATATATGTGTGTATGTGTGTGAGTGTCTATATATATATGTGTGTGTGTGCATATATGTGTGTGTTTTGTGAGTGTGTATATATATACATGCATACATACATACATGCATATACATATATATATATATATATATATATATATATATATATATATATTATATATATATATATATTTTTGAGGTCTAAAGAGAAGTGCATCTTGAAGGTCTCATGAACTCACCAAATGAAAAAAAAATGGTATTAAAATATTTGTATGACAAGATTTAAACTAAACTATATCTCTAACAAATTCAAGCAGATTAAATAACATACATCCTAATAGTGCACACACACACACACACACACACACACACACACACACATATATATATATATATATATATATATATATATATATATATATATATATATATATACGTTATTTATATATACATAAATATTTAAGTAAATGCTCTGTTTATAATAAACAGTATTAACAAAATTTACCGGCCTGAACGTTTCAGAAGCTTCATAAAAAATTTGTGACCTCCGGGAGAAATTGAACCTCTATCGTAGACTGAACCGTCATATAGCCTGACGTGCTATACCAGTTTAGCTACGGAGGAACGTCCGTCTGATTAGCAGGGTCAATTTTACTGCTTTTAAACTACAAATTTCTCATGTAATTTCCCGGGCATTCAGGCCGGTAAATGTTGTTAATACTATTTATTATAAAACGTCAACTTGGATAGTTGAGTTAAAGGGACATAACTGAGACATCTGGAAGAGGCATGATACGTGGAACTAGAACAAGCTACCCCGGTGGACAAAATAAAGGGTTCGGTTCGAAATTCCAATCACCTGCCGAATCCCGGAGCGAACAACAGCGGAAACGTTGTGAATATGGCAGTGCAGATGGGGGTGGCAGTTCGAATAATGTAAATAATGCAAGTAGCATAATAATTATTATTGTTAAATGCTTGATGAAAGACGATAGACAAGTAGTATTGAAATTTTTTTTAAGTTTAACTTTTATTTGCGAACAACAAAGGACAAGTCTGGGTCAGGATAAATATGAAAGTTTTCAAAGTTTTTGGGATCGAGTATTTTTTAACCAGACTTGAGATTATCAGCATCAAGGGGGTGGGGAATCTGAGGTGAGGAGTCAGTGATGAATTCTCCTTCCTTTTAACAAAAAAATCTAAGTAACGTTAAAATGTTTTATTTTTTTTTTTGTTTTTTAAATCATCTTTGATTGCTGGATCTATCTGTTTCTATCTATTCTTATCTATCTACATCTGTTCATATCTATCTATCTATCTCATTCCATTCTTATCTATCTATCTATCTATCTATCTATCTATCAATCTATCTATCTATCAATCTCATTCCATTCTTATCTATATATCTATCTATTTATCTATCTATCTATCTCATTCCATTCTTATCTATCTATCTATCTATCTATCTATCTATCTATCTATCTATCTCATTCCATTCTTATCTATCTATCTATCTATCTATCTCATTCCATTCTTATCTATCTATCTATGTCTCTTCGTATCCATGTAAATCCATTCTATATCCATCTAAATCCATTCATATCTATCTATCTATCTATCTATCTATCTATCTATCTATCTATCTATCTATCTATCTTTCGTCATCTGTTCATATCTATCATCTAAATCCATTTATATCTATCTATCTATTATCCATTCATCTATCTATCTATCTATCTATCTATCTATCTATCTATCTATCTATCTATCTATCTATCTTCGTATCTATGTAAATCCATTCTATATTCATCTAAATTCATTCATATCTATCTATCTATCTATATATCTATCTATCTTCGAATCTATGTAAATCCATTCTATATTCATCTAAATTCATTCATATTTATCTATCTATCTATATATCTATCTATCTTCGAATCTATGTAAATCCATTCTATATTCATCTAAATTCATTCATATCTATCTATCTATCTATCTATCTATCTATCTATCTATCTATGTCTGTTCGTATCTATCTAAATCCATTCTATATCTTCCATCTAAATCCATTCCTATCTATCTATCTATCTATCTGATACTGTTCCTATTTATCTATCTATCTGTGAATTAATTTTAATTTTGTTCATTCGTTTCAGATTCCAATACAAACAAAATCACCATGAATAAAGAATCGTCCTCAATGCATAGAGACACTTACTCCAAAACCGGCTCCGGCCCACGAAGCATGCACAGAAACATGGACCACGAGAGCCGAAGTTCGTATAGTAAAAACCGGGACATGGGTGGCTTTCACGGTGACATGGAAGGCTCACGACACGGCATGCCAGGCAGCATGTACCCAGGCATGTATGGTAGCATGCCCGCTGGCATGCACGCTAGCATGTCCGCTAGTATGCCACCTGGCATGTATCCACCTATGTATGGGGGTATGTCCGGATTTGATGCGCCGCGCATGATGGAATATCCAATGGATATGGCTAGGCGTTATATGGACCGACAAGAGCGCCCGATGGAGATGCCTTACGGGCGGTATATGGACATGTACCAGGGTCGTTACATGAGCAGCCAGGATCGCCTGATGAACATGATGCACAATCGTCACTTGTATATGCGGGCAATGAATCAAAGGCGCATGGCAGATACGATGGAGGGTAACATGGGACCCAGAGGAAGGAATTTCTATAACTATGAGTAAATTTGGGCGTTTAGTTAAAAGTTATGTTTAGGAGAGGTTTTTTTTCATAAAAAAATAAAGGAAAAGTTCATCCATGTTTATTTTAAAATACCTTTGAACCACAGATTTAATACCAGTAAAAAAAAAAAAAAAAATTTCGACTTTGTATACCTATAAATAACTTAATTATTACAATCGTATTAATTAGTTTTAAATAATAAATGTTACTAATTATATAGAGAGATATTCCACACTACATCCTTAATTGGTTTCAAAAGATGTGACCTGGGTTTTGACATAATGACTTTTAAAGAACTAGTAAATAACTAATAAAAGAGACTAATTAACGCTAGTCACTCAAGAACATTATAACTACAAATCAGTCTTATTTTTTAAAGAATAACAAACACAATTGATACATTTATTAAACTTGTGGTTTTTCGTTAAAAAATGCCTTAAATATGGCGCCAAACCTCCACAATTATCGTAAAGAACTCGCGCCAAAATGTAACACGCTTTAAGTTATTAAAGAATTTTAAAGAACTTTTGTATTTTATTGTTTTTGATGTTTTATATATTTTAAATATATTTTTTAAGTAAACCACTATTTATTTCACCTTCTTTGGTTTCGTTTGGTGTGTTTTACAGCATATCAACCTCAATGTGTTATTTAATGCCGACAAGTGTTTTATTGCTGATAATATATTTTTTTTAAATGGTAATATTTTTTTTCTTCAAAAATGTATTGCTGGCATTAAAACTTATTTTTACACTTTCATAATGTTTTGACCACAGTTTGGGAATCAAATATTTGTTCATAGCTGAGACCCTAACAGATGCTACCGCCCCAAGTCAGGGTGGTCCTGGGAACATCAGCAATTAAGAGGTGGTTTCACGCTCTTCAAAACCTCCTGATCAGAGCGCTTGCAGTTGGAGGTGGTTTATCGTCTCACCCAGGACGCGGATGAAGTTTATCGTCTTACCCAGGATGCGGATGTAGTTTATAGTCTCACCCAGGACGCGGATGTAGTTTATAGTCTTGCCCAGCAGTCGGATGTAGTTTATCGTCTTACCCAGGACGCGGATGTAGTTTATAGTCTCACACAGGACGCGGATGTAGTTTATCGTCTCACCCAGGACGCGGATGAAGTTTATCGTCTTACCCTGGACGCGGACGTAGTTTATAGTCTCACCCAGGACGCGGATGTAGTTTATAGTCTTGCCCAGCACTCGGATGTAGTTTATCGTCTTACCCAGGACGCGGATGTAGTTTATCGTCTTACCCAGGACGCGGATGTAGTTCATAGTCTCACCCAGGACGCGGACGTAGTTTATAGTCTTGCCCAGGACGCGAACGTAGTTTATAGTCTTGCCCAGCACTCGGATGTAGTTTATCGTCTTACCCAGGACGCGGATGTAGTTTATAGTCTCACCCAGGACGCGGATGAAGTTTATCGTCTCACCCAGGATGCGGATGTCGTTTATAGTCTTGCCCAGGACGCCCTTCTTTTTTATGACGTGAGTGGCGTTGTTTATCAACCGTAACGTAGAACGTGATAACGTTCATTGGACTGAAATTGACTCTAGAAAAATGGCGTAAAGGCAGATTTCGACGTAGGCCGTATTACTGTAAAGGGGATATCACTGTATATTACATGTGCATAATTCGGAATTAACTCCTCCTAATTTCTTAGTTTCTGAAACTGCTACTAGAGGACGCTTTCCAGTTCTATAAATACTTGGCGATATCACCTCTCGCTCTCTTTTTTCTTACTTTTCAGCTGACACTATAACAATGTAAATCTCTCCCGGAGATGTTGCGTTTTTTCCCTTTGGAGGGGGGAAACGACATGAACAACTGTTATAGTGGAACATACCTATTCTATAGATAATGGACTCTCCCACCTATAATTAGGAGTCGCTCAGTGAGTTAGTCAGTCGATGTCGGTCGACCGGCTGATCGGTTGAACTCTCTGCCTTCGGGCGGAGAGGAACCTGAACGAGGCTTCAATGGGCCTATTTTTGGGCCGAGCCCACGGGCTCGGTTATCCCACATTAAATAACCGACCTTGTGTCACATGATGCCCCAGTGGGGGGTTACTGAATATCGTCATTCGATGTCGGACGACAGTCAAATACTAAAGTATCAGCGACCACAACTAGATTTCTCTGCATCATTACCTATTATATCAAGGTCCTAACGTTTTGTACGTCGAACCTATTTTAGGACCGACTTAGTACAAACACAAGCCTCCACTGTGAAATCATTCCATGACAACAATACATACACACATACACGCACGTACGTACTCACATTTACTCACACATACTCTGAAACATAATGACAAAACTAACCTGGACGTTAGTTTCGAAAAGGACCTCCAATCGGTTGTGGACTGAGGCAGGAATTGGTTGATTAACGTTTATGCCTCAAAAACAAAACTGCTCTCTATTACTCACCACAGAGAACCACCCCTGCCTCCTATTAGAATGTCTGACGCTCAACTCCACAAGAGCACCTCTTTGCGACTGCCTGGTCTCACATTGTCCGCTGACCTGAGATGGAGCAGATACATTGAATCAATAGCTTCATTCACCACAAGGAAAGTTGGTTCCCTGTGTCGCGCCAGAAAGTTTTTTTTCCCGCCCGAATCCATCCTTCAAATCTATAAATCAGCTATTCGTCCTTGCATGGAATACTGCTACTACATATGGTCTGGTTCCCCCACTGCTCCTCTTAAGATCCCCGACAAAATCCAGAGACGGATATGCAACGTGATTGGCCCTGATCTGGCATCTCGTCTACAGTTGCTCTCTCACAGACGTGCCGTCGCCTCCCTCTGTCTTTTCTACAAATACTTTCACGGTAACTGCTCCGACGAGCAACTTTAGCTAGTGCCCAGACTTCATGAATTTAAACGTGCTACTCGGTCCCACCCTTTCACAGTCGAAACGGCTAAATATAGCTGTCTCTCTGATTCCAATAGCTTCATGTCTCGCACTTCCCGTCTGTGGAACTCCCTTCCTCTTACTTGCTTCCCTGATAGTTATAATCTCCAATTATTCAAATGTAATGTCAATCGACATCTCCAGATGCCTTGATCTAATTCCCCGTCCTTCTCTTTATCCTTTTCTTTATCATGCCTCTTTACTCTCGCTCACACTCTCTGTAATCCCTTGCGTGCTAGTAGCGTCCCGCCATTTCTAGGGTGGAAGCGTACAAAAAACAAAAACAAAAACAAAACAAAAAACACACACACACACACACACACACATTATTGTCTATGTTATTTCGTAACTTTTTTGTTTGTTAATTCTTTATTATTTGTCTTTCTTGCTTCTTTTATTTCTTTATGGTGGACTCAATCTCCAAGTCCGCCATGTTTGTTGTAGGCCATTTCAGGAGACACGTTTTCATCTCACTGTTGTGGCCTGTTTAGGGACCAGAAAGAAAGACACGGAAGACGAAGGCAGGATTGAACAAGTGTAAGAGAGTTAGTAATAAGCAGATAGCGGTGTATGTCCGAACGGTAGGTTAATACTGCGTCTCCGCTTCAATAGTTGTTGTTGTTGTTGTTGTTGTTCTTCTTCTTCTTCTTCTTCTTCTTCTTCTTCATCTTTTTCTTCTCCTTCATCATCATCATCATCATCATCTTCTTCTTCTTCTTCTTTGTCTTTCTGTGACTTTGGCGACTATAGCTCTCCTCAATTTCCTGTGCTTTGCAACCCTCAGTAAACGTTGTCCCTGTTGCCACCTCTCCCCACCCATCCAGCCATCCATTAAACAAGCTCGCCTTATTGGTTATACGTTGTTTTCATCTGTCACTCTTGCCTTCGATCTATTCTGTAAGTATCAAATTTTCCAAGCCTTCTTTCCTCCCTATATGTACTAGAATTTTAAACCCTTTCTTTCACACGTTAAGCGTAAGTTTCCTTTTTGTTTCTATTTGCTCAAACGTTCGATCGATCTTATTCTCAGCATCCTTCTGTAGCACAACATTTCTCATGCCTCAAGTCTCTTCTTCATCTGTGAGGAGATTGACCAGACATCACTGAGAGGACTGATATTACATAAAATTTCAGTACACTTTTTGTTGTGGCCTGTTTAGGGACCAGAAAGAAAGACACGGAGGACGAAGGTAGAGTGAACAAGTGTATTGAAATAACATATATATATATATACAAATCAAGAGAGTTAGTAATAAGTAGATAGAAGTGTACGTCCGAACGGTAGGTTAATACTGCGTCTCCGCTTCTCAACCGACTGCCCTACGGATCTTGCTAGGAAGTATCGCAGTTAGTATTTATGAGAGGAGGAAGAGTTCATTCTACTGTAGGTGGGTTTACCACAACACTTTTTACGCTAAGAACCTTTCTCTTACATTGTAAAATGTATGTACCAAATTTGTTCAAAACCAGTTGGATGGATCTCGAATGAAAAGGTATCACACAGTGGAACAGACACCCAGACATCCTCTGTTTTATATATATAAATTATTGTTTTCCTTCTCCTCAATAGGTCCGTCTATCATCCTCCCTGATCTTTTGAACAAGAGTAAATGTTTATCCCTTGTCCGCTGTTTAAGATAGGATTCCTGGTTCCTCCTAAAGTCTACTTCCACTCTATACTTCTAAAGTCTAAGGCTGAACACTGAAAATGTCTTTACTATACTCTTTCCTCAATAGGAGTAGATAGGTTCGCCTAACGCCCGATTCACACTCCTCCTCGATCTCTTGAACAGGAGTAGAGGTTTATCCCTTGTCTCTATTTTGAGTTTTCAGTTTCTTCTAAAATTTACTTCAGCTCTACACTTCTCTGACCGAACTCTGAAATTTCATTCACTAATTATTTTTCGCCTCTCTCAATAGGAGCAGATAGGTTCGCCTATCGTCCGGTTCATACTCCTCCCCGAATTATTGAATAAAGACTGGGGACGAGTGTGAACCGGGCGATACACGTTTACTTAGTTTTTTGTGTTGTGGCCTGTTTAGGGGCCCAGAAAAGAAAGACACAGAAGACG